CAAGCATCTTGTCTGCTGGGTGACTTCTCCACGGAAGGCCCTGATCCTCATTAATTGCTCCAAATGGGGACTGAGAAGAGGGGGATTGCTAGTCCCTAAACCAGTGTTTCTCAACCTTGGCCACTCTAAGTTGTGTGGACTCCAACTCCCAGAATTCCCCAGCCAGCCATGTGGGAGTTGGAGTCCACACAACTTAGAGTGGCCAAGGTTGAGAAACACTGCCCTAAACTGTCACACCTGTCAGCTGCTGAGAGATTTTGAGTCTGAATTTTTACCTCAAGTTCACTGGGGACCTCAGCTCTTCGCGCTTCCTCCTCAGCGAATCGTTGCTTGGCATAGTTCACCTGCTGGACGTGGGCGCAGCGGGACCAGAAGCCATGGAGAGTGGGGTGCATCCATCCTGATCAAAGAAAAAAAGCAGCATGGGTGGGCTAATAGGGCAAAGGTGCTGTTTTATTGCTGAAAAGGGAGGTGTAGGGGCTTAAATTCCAACACCCTTGAGCTGGCATCTCCCCTCCAAAAAACCCAGAGCTGCTTTTCTCAAAATACAGGTAGTCCTCGCTTAACAACCACAACTGGGATTGACAACTCCGTCACTAAGTGACATGGTTGTTAAGCAAGACATTCCATGACCGCAACAGGGTTACGACCTCACTTCCACTGCAGTTGTCAAGCAAATCACCCGTGGTTGTTAAGCGAGACATCACATGACCACAACTTGTGATTTTACTGCTGGCTTCCCCATTGGTTCTGCTTGTTGGAAGGCAGCTGTGAAGCACCTGAATGGCAATCGCGTGACTGTGGGATGCTGTGACCATGGTAAATGCGAGGAACAGTCGTAAAGTTGCTTTTTCAGCACCGTCATAACTTCAAATGGTCACTAAACAGGGCAGTCATTAAGTGAGGACTACCTGTAATGCCCACCAGAGATGTTAAACCTTTCCCACCCTGGTGGCAGCTCCTTCAACTCCAATGCCAGCATGGCTACCCAGGGAATTCTGGGAACGAGAGTCTCAACACATCTGGAGGGGACAGATTGTGGAATGGCTATGTTAGCATTGCCTTTAAAACTCAGGCACCCGAGTGGTGTGGAGTTGGAAAGAACCTAGTCCCTGAATTTGAGAGAGAGACACTATGTCTTTGCAAAGTGGCTTTTTTGCCCCCTCCCCACCACAATATGAACCACAGGTATTTCAGGCAAAGGAAAAACCATTTTATTAAGGGGAGCCTAGTCTTTATATGGAGCAGAGAAACAAATGATACATGCATTCGATACGTGTGATGCATCAGAAAGCAACAAATCAAATAATAAAAGATGCTGATTTGATGTGAGAAAAGAGAGACACCCTTAAAATATGTTGCATCTCCTTCTTTCCCACCCGGGCTTGTTCTTTAACACTTGCCACCCTCAAGGACTTCAGAATGCACCCTTATTGTTTAGTTTCTGTAAAGGCTAGTTTTCATGCATCAAAGGAAATGGCTTTTGGCTCCAAGGAAAAACCTGGTTTCCCAAACCTAAACGAGAGGCCTAGACTGCCATGCTAATATGCTAAGATCACCTTTAGTAAACAGCTAAAAATGAACCCTAAAATTCCAGGTCACGTTAGATCCAGTCAAACCACGGAAACCATGTCACGTTGGCTGGGAATGCACATAAAAAGCAGGCAGAGCTTCCACTGCACCACTGCAGCTGCCATTTTGACTTGTTGGACCACACCTGTGGACATCCCTGACCACATCTCTCTGGTTTGCACCCAGAGAGCCTTCAGTTCTACCCAACCATGACAATTCCCAGACAGAATTCTCAGGAATGGCCAGGACTGTTGGCCAAGCCATGGCTTGGCCAGTCAAATGCTAGGACGCAAGAGCCAAAATCACACACAAATGGGGGAAATTGCAACCTGTTTATTCTGTACGGCAATAAAGAGGCACTCTCGGGACCCAAGTCACAAATTGAGAGCCCCCCTACACAAATTAGCATAGCCTTTATACACTGGTGAAAACAAAAGCACATGATCGTTTGAACTATAAGCAGTGGGCAATAAGCAGTAAATTATTCACACCGCTAGTTGGGCAGAGCAGCCCCCCAAGAGGTGGGCTCCTTGCTAAAACGTTACAGCCTCTTCCCTTCTATCTTTCCCTAGCTGATAAGGCTGGTATATAAAGCTTCTAGCTAATTTATCTACAAAAGGAAAAAGGGAGCTGGCCTTGGGTCTACTGGTTCCAGATCTTCAATAATGGCAACCACATGATCGTTCCAGGAATTCGCAGTGCAGAGTAAAGGGGCTCGAAGAGGAGCAACCATGAACTAAGATGGACAAAATGAGGTTTCTCTGGCTCCAGCCAGCTGCACCAGCTGTGCCAGCCCATCAGCGCTGGCTGTGGAATTCTGGGAATTGAAGTCCACGCACACTTGGAAATCGCTACAGTTGGGAAACACGAACTAGGCAGACCGTTGCTTAAAATCTCATTTTAACTCAGAACAGTTTGATTTTGCACCATGACCTCTGACAGGTTTCTCGGAAGCTGCTTCCAAGCAGTTTCAACCAACAACAACCCACACATTGTCCTCCACCCATGCTTTTAATGTTATCAACCCTTTATTACTGTCGTTTCACTTTTACTGAAAGCTGATCAATGGTGGCACCAGAAATCAGAACCGATTCCAGAACTGAGCTTCCTAGGTCAAACCTGCATTCATTTTTCATCATAGCTCAGTTCTGTGTTGTTTTAGCCAACGATGGAAAGCTGACTTTGACCCAGCGCACTTTGTTCTATGTTTATTAGCAATCCTGAGGCTGATCCACCCCAGCCCAATTTTGCAAATGAAGCGAACAAAAAGAAAGGTTATCACTTTCGATCCACCCAAGAGCCTAACTGAAGCTGCGGACCTTAACAGGAAGAGCCTGGTGCAGCCTCTTACGCCGAGATAAGCCATCTAAGGTTCATTGAAATAAGTGACAACGCAGGGGTCCTGTGGTTTGAGAACCCAGCTTGCTAGATAATTTGTCTTTTCTTTCATTGCAGGCTGAAGGGGGCAATTCAGTTCAAGACTGGAACTGAGCAGGATTAATGCCACCCTATATTTAGATTTGAACCAGTCGATTAGTACAATAGTACGCACAGTCCAAGCCAGGTCCTAAAGGAGGGAAAGAAGTCTGTGTTCATTCCCACCTGTCAGGCAAGGTCCTGAATTATTCTGGGGCATTGATGTGAGACAAAACATTTGCCTCCCGCAAAGTACAGGAGGGGAAGAGAACTGCCTGGGGAATCACAGAGACAGGGAGGTTCATTTACCATATGTCGGGTTGCCCAGCAGCTCTGCTGGAGTCTTTAATCTCTTTGCTGGCAGGAGTACCATCTCCTAAAAAAATGGCAGGGAGAAGTCAAGCATTAACATGTAAGGGGGTGATGAAAAGGGAATTCACCCGACTGAGGTGGGAGACAAGATTTTGGAACACTCTTTTCTTTTGGCTGTGAATAAACCTACAACCCTGAAGCAAAACTCCCCTGACTTCTGACAGTGGAGAGAAGAAACTCAACAGGAGGGGAAGTGGCTTTCCAGGCACATGTGAAGCCCACATCTCCCTGTATCGAACATCTACCAGTGGCTGGCACTGTGTGTGGGGATCCGCAATCTGTTTCTGGAAATCTTCCCGGGAAATCTGGGTCACAACATCCATGAAACGCAGCTGCCTTCGCCGCTTAGAGGGGCGTGGCGGAGACGGCTCGTATTCAGGCAGACGGAGCTGAAAAAACACGAGAGAACTTTTGGCATGACCCCGAGCAGCTTGTACGACATCCCTCTTGTGGGCAGCCTCGGCTCATTTTGAGTGGGAGAAGGACCCACCTTCCCACCCTCTTTTTCTCTCACCTCAGGACTCAACGGGGCGGGTCGCTTTATCTTGGGGCTAATCCTGGGTGAACGGGGAGAAGGTGGGAACTTCGGTTCCTGTGCTGGAGGAGTAATCTCTAAAGATAAGGAGCAATGCTTCCTTAATGAAAGCAATGATGAGTTTACCCAAGGCGTTTGGAAAACAACCATGTTTTTCTTGCCCACATAAAGCACATCAGAGCTAATAGGATTTTCCCAGGAGAGGCAAGATCACAGGCAGAGAAAAAAATGTCCTGCCTAACTGAGCACGGAAGGTTACATCCTCCTGGTGCCTTAGCCCAATCCCAACACATGTGTGCAGGTTTTATTCCATATAACGTATATCGGGTGGTTTGTGAAGCTGAACAATGAGCACATGGAGTTTGGGTTTCAGAGGTATCAAAACTATTCAAGATCTTGCAGCAAATTAAATCTGGGAGTTTTTGCTCACAAATTATATACCGTTCTCATAGAATCAGGCCATCTTTGAGTCAAGTCCAAGTGAAAGTTTGTTTGAATGGGGCTCCACAGATCACGCTCTTTGCCCTCCCACCCCAGCCGGGCCTCTTTCCCACAAGGGACGCAGACCACTCACCCAAAGGCTGCAGAGGAACGCTGACAGAGGGCTGGGTCTCTTCTCTCAGCAGCAGCCCCATTTCTTTCACAGCCAATGTCTCCTCCACAATCCTGCCTCCCCCACCAAAAAAATGAAATGCCATGTTATACCTATAGAAATATCTTGTACAAAACATATGCATTGTGGAAATAGATGGATTCTATGAAATTTTTTGAATGCTAGACTACAAATTATTTTTATTATGTAAATGTTTAGATACTAGAGTAAGAGGTGAATATACAGTATTTATATACCCGTACCAAGGAAAGTCAGAAGCTACTCTTCCTTTTTCATGTTTTTTCTTTACTGATTTTTCTTTTCTTTCTTTCTTCCTTCCTTTTATTCTTTTTTGACCTTCCTGTATTTTAACCTTTTGGAAATTTAATAGAATTTATATTCTAAAAAAAAAGAAGTAATGAAATGCCCATTTTTCTTGTTTCATTTTGTCTCCAGAATAAGGGCCTGTGGCATACAGGAGGTGGGGCTGGCCATGGCTGACAAGCTTCAAGGGACAAGAGATGTTTGAATAATGCGAATATATGATTTTTGATATGTGAATAATGTAAACGGCGCCCGGGGAGCTCATGGCGTTTCTTGTGGAAAAGGAACAGGAAAAGAGACTGGTGGAGACCAGTTTGCAATTGAGACACCCCAGTTATAAGTTGTAGCGATTGGCGGAGGGGGTGGGTATTGAAAGCATGTTTCCCCACCCCATGTTTAGACTTCAGCTCCCAGAAATCAAAACCACCATGGCCAGTACAAGATGGGGCACTCCCACACAGGCACAGATGTCACAGAAGAGACATCCAACCTCAGATGTGGGGAGGCTGATTGTGGCTGTGAAGTAGTACAGGAGAGGAGAAGAGACTGCTTTTAAAATTTATTTTGGGGTAAACTGGAGCCCCAGGCCACCAAATTCTATTGCAACGCAGTCCACGTGGGGCTGCCCTTGAAGAGCATCTGGAAGCTTCAGCTGGTACAGAATGCAGCTGCCCGGGTGGTAAATAGTGTTGACTACTCGGCACATGTAACACCACTGCTCCGGGAGCTGCACTGGTTGCCGGTGTATTTCCGGGTGCAATTCAAGGTGCTGGTTGTCACCTACAAAGCCTTTCATGGCTTGGAACCAGGTTACTTGAGGGACCGTCTTTTCCCAGTTGTTTCTACCTGTCCAATTCGGTCTGGCAGGATGGGCACG